CAAAGTACATAATATCACCTTGACTATATGTTGCCTTGATTGTTAGAGTAAGTTGGACCGATACTATGCATAGGAGGCCTGCAATTGTTTTAATGTCATTGTGCAGATTCAGTATAGTACAATGACCTGTGTGGCTTGTATTCTTGTACACACTTGATAATGTATTACAGCTATACAAAGATAGATATTTGCCTAAAGACTCCACAAATCGATGATTTTTGTTTCAGTGTTCAGATTGTTTGATTCTGATGGGGCCATCTTGCCCGCTCGGGATTACCTGCATTGATCCCGCGTATGAAAAAAATTGAATTAGAACGATATTCATAATTTTTGGACAATTTTGGCGATGGAAATGCAGAAAGCAGAATATAATCAAAACAAACAAAACAGAAACGACTCCCGAGAGTTAGTTGTGCTACTAATACAGTTGGCTTTCTTTCCCTGCTCGAAGTAAACAAGTCATTAATTCTTACTAAAATGAAATATTTTTGCGATAAAATAAATCATTTATTAACCAGGCTTGTTTGGTTAAGATGGCTGGATATTAGCTACAGAGCCCCATACCCATGGAATATGGTGAACCTCTTTTCATTTAGTTGTCACGTGACTGACCGAGCGTACGTACGTATGTACGTGCCTTCAGATTGCACGGGTAGGGTAAGGTAGGGGGGACTATCAAAACGAAGGGAGGGGTGTCTCAGGCGAGTCTTGGAAAATGCACATCTTTTATGTTATCGTTAATATTACGAACTTGGGAGCTCCGCTTTTAGGCTTGGCTAAATCTATATATTAATCATGCATGATAGAGGTTACATAAATATAACAATTAGGTTTATTCTCACTCTGACAAAAGTCCAACATGGGACCTTTGTTGTCGTTTCCTAGAGTTTGATCACGAGACACCTTGTGTTTATCGGCAAATGTTTCCCCGTCACTCTGTTTACATTTTCTGTTCATCGAATAACTCATTTGAGACCTTTTTAACTAATTTGATTCTTTAGCTATTTTAAGTTCGCGGAACGACCCGTTTCGAAATATACGCTCACTACACACGCCACCTTTTGAGTGGGTCTACCGAGAACGGTGTGTGGATCTCTATGTTTGAGCGTAGAAAAGATGACACCATTTGTTAACATAAAATAACTCGACATATCCCCCATCATCGACATGGTGGAAGGAAGATTGCGCCTTTATTTCGTGTCTGCGGTATTCCCCATTGCACCTGACTGAGCTTTGTGGAGAAACCCCGAGGGTAAACCTATAGTCGGTCGCCCGACTAAAAATTATAGCAGTAATTCGAGAATTATGCTATTAATTTTTTTTAGTTGATGCTGCTGGTGTGCATTAATCACAAAACTGCAAGTATTATTCACCTTTTTCACAATATTCTCCTTTAAAGCCTTTTGCACAGAGGCATTCAAATGACCCATCTCTGTAGTTTGTTACACAGGTGGCTTCGTTTTGACAAGGTGACGAAGAACAAGGTGACTGTGGAGAGACAGAGTAGGAAAATGTTTCTTGTATTTTGGAAGGCAGGAGCAAACCTACGGATATGTGGTGATTAGAAGGAACATGAATCCGCTCTGGTATACTGACGAGGTAAGGTGGTAAGTAAGATGTTTCATGGTATGTCACGAGAAAGCGTATAAGTTTACACCAAATTTCTCCTACCTCAATTGCGAGATGATGCGAACTTTTATTCCCTTCATACTCTGTGGAGTTTCTGTATTTATCAGACGACAGCAACTCGCACCAAAGTCTACCGTGAGCTCCTTTGGAGGCAGCCAGGTTTACAGAAAAACAGAAAGGATTGCTGAGACATTCAAACGTGCAGTCAAATTCATCAAAGACTGCTGCTGTTCCAGCGAGCGGCACATTCAAGTGATGAAACTCGTGTTTAATGAATGCACGTCTCAGAAAAGTTTTTGAGGAGCAGGGGATGTCCTCGTGATACAGAACGTTCGATTCAATAACAGGAAAGAAGAACAGTGCAGTAATAAAAGGATGTGATGGTACCATTCACATTTCACACTTCTCTGGAGGCGAATCCAGGGGGGGACGGAGAGAGGGGTGGAAGAATAGAGGATGAGAGGATAAAGTGCCCCAAAGAACAGTAACCCCATACCATAATTGATGTTTACGATAACTACGTACACTTATGAACCTTATTTGGCTCAATCCGCTACCGGTTTAGAGAGATGAGATACCATTTTGCTATGGTCAGTAGTAAATCGGCTTGCCTCTCTGTAATTGCACTAGTGCCGTGAAACAACATTGTTGGGTGGAGCTGATTAACCATGTACGAGTTATCTTGTAAGCGGTTTACGGTCCTTTTTTACACAATACAATCATTTATAATCTCTTACATACTTTTAAACCCACACAAATGAAAAACAAATGAAAATTTTGGCTTGCGTGATTCAAAATTAGTTGGATGTGAAAACAAACCTACGAGATATTTTAAGTGTTTTACAAGATATCTAGCTCTGTAACAAAAATATTTTGATATTCAAAAACATCTTGAGAATTTATGGAAAGATTTATAGCTGATTCTATGACTGTGAAGTTTGCTTGGAGGCTTAAACTTGCTTCTAGATCTTATCGGCGAAATCAAGGTAAACGGCTGTTAGGAAAAGTTTCAACTTTCCCATAAATTTTCTGAGCTAATTGGAAGCAAATTTTTTCAGCTTCCTCGTGCTTATTTAGCAGCTATCCGTTACAAAGTCCTGAAAGGTTGGAGAAATCTTACGACACTGTTACTTTGGTGCCTACCCTTGGAAATTAGTGAATTTCGCTATTTGAAAGGAAAACAGTCATAATTTTTCAGTAGTTCGCAGTTTTCTTAACGTTTTTGACCTCTCTCGCCAGAAGCCTTGACTTCCCCTCCACCGCTGACGACAAATTGTTTGTCTGGTTTTGGCTCAAGAGGTGTTTAGTAGAGTCGGCTCAATTCGGGCGACTTTTCGCTATATAAAAAAGGAAAACGGATGAAAAATTCAGTACGGTGAAAAAAGAAAATCATTTTATCGAAGACATAAAATGATCAAATCGCTAGATAGATTTTTCGCAGCCGAAATAAGACATCTCGATTTTAATTAAGTCCATGGTTGTTTTGGCACCCGTTAGACTTGAATTTGAATCATCTTCAGTTATCAATATCTACCGTGTCATTTACAACGAATAAACGCCCATTTTAATTGACTTCACCGGGTTAGCGTTTCAAACGAAATTTCGCAAATTTAAAACCTCCTAAGTCGTAAACCTTTCTAGCTCTTCAGCGCTGCAATGCTTTTATTCCTTTCTGTTCCTCAGGATCGATCATTTAAGTATAAGATACTGCTGTCAAACGTTCCTTAGAGAAAGGAAGAATATCAATCAGTTATCTGCAACTCAATTTAACAAGTCTTTGATGAAAATATTTTGAGTTAACGCATGACACGATCGAAAGCTTGTCGTTAATCTTCGCAATTTTAACCAAGTTGAAGGACGTATAGCTGTTGTTTAGACTACATTTAGAATTTAAATTAAAATTAAATAAAAGTTTTTTCAATCATTGTCTTAGCTCATTAGTCTTAAAAAACATTTTTCAAAATATAGAGCTGGAGTGTTATTTGCATTCAACCAAGCTGAAGAACTGATTGGACGTATGAGCGTAATAGATCGACTTCAAAAATGCAACTGACAAGAATTAAATTTTAACAACAGGAGATATATTACATTTAAATTTACATTTTTACATTTATATAGCGCAGACTTCTATGTGGATATATTCAGTCGTGCTTTACAGTATCGTAAGGTTGAGATCGGATGTCAGCACTTTTATCAGGCGCCTCTGGCATCCGCTTCAGCCCATGTAGCGATCTCACCTTCCCACCTATCCCACCCCGGGGAGGACATCCACCACACAGTAATCTCGTGCATGGGAAATTTACGTCTCCTACCCCTAACCCTGCAAAGAGGTTAGGGGTAGGAGAGGACTTCAAGTAAACTTCGAGAGGACGTCAAGTAAACTTCGAGAGTGTGCCGTTCTAACAGCATCCCAAGATATCATTCACTATTGCTCAAATAGTGCTTTACTGCGAAGGATCGTTCTCATATACGTCTCATAACCGCAGTTCACACATATGTTTCATATGTTTGTTGTTGTTTGATTTATCATCTACGGGTTTATATCGAATTAATTTGATGGCCTGCTCCCAGTTGGCTTGTTAGCTCAATTGGTAGAGCGCTGCACTAGTATCGCAGAGGTCAGTGGTTCGAATCCCGTACAGGCCTGAAATTTTTTTCAGGTCTGATTTTCACTATTGCTCAAATAGTGCTTTACTGCGAAGGATCGTTCTCATATACGTCTCATAACCGCAGTTCACACATATGTTTCATATGTTTGTTGTTGTTTGATTTATCATCTACGGGTTTATATCGAATTAATTTGATGGCCTGCTCCCAGTTGGCTTGTTAGCTCAATTGGTAGAGCGCTGCACTAGTATCGCAGAGGTCAGTGGTTCGAATCCCGTACAGGCCTGAAATTTTTTTCAGGTCTGATTTTCACTATTGCTCAAATAGTGCTTTACTGCGAAGGATCGTTCTCATATACGTCTCATAACCGCAGTTCACACATATGTTTCATATGTTTGTTGTTGTTTGATATAGAAAATGTACTGAAAATTATCTGTGGCGTTTACTCAAGGACTTGCAGGAGTAGTCTGTTAGCTTACAATCGTAAGGGTTGGATCTCTTTCAGCTCTAGATTAAGAGAAAATAACAGTCTTCTCATTTTCTATTGTCAAGATGTAATGCAGCGCTTTCAAGGCATGCCTAATGGAGTTTTACAGCGATTTTTTGTCTAGTCGTGCGGGTTCATTGGCCAGGGTAACCTCAACGACTTACCTTATAAAAACACAATCCTTTATGTTCAGCAAATTAGAATGACTCATTTGTTTTGTTTTTGTTTTTTGAATAAATTTAAAAATTCAGTACAAATTTCACTTATAAATTACCAAGGTTGATTAACACAAGTCTTTCCCTCGTTCAAAACCATCCGTAAGCAAACAGATCCGTCTTGGTTATTTTCGCTATTCAGTTTGACTTTCCTAAGATGGGTCTACAAAAAAGAAGAAACTCCATCAATAAATAATTCTTGAAGGATCTTTTTCTGAAAAGCACTGAGCAACCGGTCAGGCAATTGACTAGATGCCAACAATAATGTCTTAAGTGTAAATGGATGAATATAATTATGGAAAACTTAAACTTATTGACCTTACCGAATTAGGGTCTGCATGAAAAGTGCCTGTGTTGTCTCTGTTTCAATACTAACCCACCGTCCGATAAAGGGCTCTACTTGCTCTGCTAATAGACTTTGAAATTCAGCCCAGGGATTTACGAAAGCAATGAAATTTACCGAACGGAACACCTTCATTCGTTGTACAGTCATAAGGGCGCTTCTGATCAGAACTGGCTTGTGTCAACATCACAGGCAAGCAACGAGGCATTCTTTAGCCTTGGCGTATTCTCCAAGAGAAAGAAATAAAGTTCCGTGGTTTCCGTAATCAACTGCTTCTCCCTGTCTGTCGCCAATTTCTCTTCTTATCACAAGCGCTCTCTCGTAAGATTCTTTAGCCTTTGTAAATTCGCTGAGCAACTGAAGCACAGTTGCTAAGTTTCCGTTGACGTTTGCCTCTCCTCTTCTGTCGCCAATCTCCTTTCTGATCGCAAGTGCTCTCTCAGCGTAATCTTTAGCCTGGGTATATTCACAATGAATAAAGGCTGATAGTTTCTAAAGAAACTGTTTGGCGCTGCGTCGGTGGGGGTAACGAAATAATTTAAATATATCAACAAAGTCGAAATGGTAAATTGGCCACCGTTACGGTTATAAAAGCTGACGTTTCGAGCGTTAGCCCCTAGTCGGAGCGAATGACGAAGGGCTAACGCTCGAAACGTCAGCTTTTATAACCGTAACGGTGGCCAATTTACCATTTCAACTTTGTTGATATATTCAAATTATTTCGTTACCCCCACCGACGCAGCGCCAAACAGTTTCTTTAGAAACTATCAGCCTTTATTCATTGTGAATATACCCAGGCTAAAGATTACGCTGAGAGAGCACTTGCGATCAGAAAGGAGATTGGCGACAGAAGAGGAGAG